GACGGTACTGAAAAGTCCACACCATCTAGCACCGGCTTAATCAGAATGTAAAATAGTGTGTTCATGCCAAATGTCAAAAGTACTGTTTATTTCCTTTTGTTGTCTGTGAATATGATTTAAATTTATTTTGGTGCACTAAACTGATTTTTTAATCTTCGTCTTTTAATTGATTTTCATCTTTGGCTGCCTTGTGGGGATCTCTTGTTTCTTGTTTTGGATGGTTTGTGGTGGCATCCTGTCCGGTTTTTTTGCCTTTGTGTTCTATACGGTGTCCTGCTGGGTTTGTTTGTTGAATTCCACCCTTTCTTGTTTATCTTGTTTTACATATTTTATATGATCAATATTTTGAAATTAGACATTATTTACAGACACAGTTTGTGTGGTGATGTTTCATATATTTAAACTATTTTTCTATATTATGTTACCCGTTTTAATTGCACTTACTAATTTTAAAGGTTCAATTTAGATCATGATACTGTTTAAGAAATGTTTTATAAGTTTTTACATGTAACTATAAATACGTATTGAACAGTTTTGATGTCACTATATATTAAACTGATCGCCTATGCATAGACCCTTGACCTGTCTTATTGTAATTATCAGATAAGTGGATACAATAAGAATTTCACCACAACATATTTGTTAACAAAAGAGCACATGTCATTGTTTGTGGTTTAACCTATTGTTATTTATATAAAAGGTCAGGGTGGGGATCTATCAATTGAAAACTGACATGCATTTTAATTAATCTTGATCATAACTCTAATTGTTCACTTTTCAAGAACATATTATTCAAACTGTAAACAAATGATGGGGTTAGACTTCAAACTACAGAACAAACAGGAATCAATGATAAATATGTAATTAACAATAAAGTATTGATTTGAAAATAAAATTTACAGTCCGCAAAAAATACTTGGCCAGCCATGTACATTTCACAAATCAATACAGTTTGCTTTTGGTATAGGTAAAAGTTTATAAGTACGTGTTTGCAAAATTAATTGGTCATTTAACTGTGTTTACAATATTTCGGCATCTTTTTCTGTCCATGGCTGAGGTTTTCTTTTGAAAATTGTTACTGATAAGAATCTAAGCCGGTGTATACATTTTCTTCTTTGTTGTTGTTGTTTATTCACTATAAATAGTATGACACACTGATTATTATTGTTTAATTGTCCTTTTTTAAAGCACATGTTGATTTTTCGATTAACTGATTTTTGTGTTTAGTTTTTCATATCGTCTCAATCTGAATAATCTATGTCTAATCCAGGTACAATAAATATGTAATTGCAATATGGCTGTTTAATTGCTTTAACTAGTGCTACGAGGCGTGAACTGTAACTTGAACTTTCCATTACTGTCCATGAACAGGCTGAATCAAAATTTTCAATTTTGTCGTTTTATGCGTTCTTTAGAGATTCTTTATTTCTCTCTTTTATAATATATGTTTTTCTTTTCATGTGGACATCTGCTGCAAACAATAGAAACACTTTCCATGAGATTTTACGTATTTTAAGTATCCTAGTTGCATTGTTGGTTTTTTATTGAACATATACAATCTTTTTTAGTGTTTGATGTCAGTATAGTTTACAATTGTAATTATAATGGAATTCTGAATTTATGACCGTGTTAACTGAGCGGATGATGTTTCATGGTATCAGTTTCCGAACATGGCTTAATGCATGAAATATTTAATGATTGATTGGTGACGTTCAGATGGAAATGTAACAATTTAAGGCAGATTTAACTCATATGATTGTATAAAATTTGAGATAATTAAGATTATTCAAGATTTATTAATTTCAATTAGTTTAGTTGAAGCGTGACCTTTGCCAGATAAATTGAATTGAAGTATAGAATCCGACACGTCAATTCTCATTAAGAAAAAAAATGTTCGAAATTGTACGCTTACAGACGTATAGGAAGGTAACATATAAACATAAAACAAAAAGAAAATAATGAAATATGAAAACGACTTTGAACTTGCATTATCTTAGAATATGATAACAAAAACATTTTAAGCAATAAAAAGAGGATATCGACCTCGTTTTACAATAAAATTGGTACTATATTTTCATGTATTGATGTATACTAAATATAAAAGCCTAAAAATGTTTATTTTTCAAGTGGCATTATTGTTACTATAGTTACTATAGTAACTATAGTTACTCATTTTTTCACGCATTGATGCATGATTTCATTGAAATATCGACTCATTCAGGCTGATCAATGATAACAAAATATTAATTTACTTTATTGTATAATATTCTCATTTATTTCTGATGCAATATTTTGTGTTAACTATATATAATTCATAAGGTATATTGATGAGAAAATAGTTTCAAAAGCTAAATGAGTATGAATTATTTGTTACTTGTAAAACAATACAATGTGACAGAATATCATAGGGGATATTAAAGTCGGTATGACATTCTGTTTGTTTTGGTTTGGTTTTCGGGGGCGTCCGTGGCCAAATGGTTAAGGTCGTTGACTTCAAACAACTTGCCTGTCACAGCAGTGGGCTGGAATCCCGAAAGGGACTTTGGATTTTTTCACGTTATGAAGCTAACAAGCTAGCCTACGGAACGTCTGTGACTTTACTCATATGGCCGATTGTGCCTAAGATCATCCTCTGCCAGTAATGCTGGAAAGTCGACATATGACCTATACTGTGTTGATGCATCATAAAACCCAACAAAAAATAGAAAAATATAGTATTTTCTCTTAGACTACTGTCATCAGACAGAATGAAGCTCCAAACAAATAAGACACTCGCGTTGATAAACCCATACATAAGATTACGACGTTATATGCTGCGAACACGAAAGTAATATAGTCGCGATTGAAAATATACCTTTTAGCGCTTTAGCACATTCTTTTATTCTATGCAAATTTATATTTAATTTTTTGATGTAAACACTTTCCAACTGTTGGTCAGTCACCATTATAACAGTCACTCTTTTGGAATATGTAATCAATACAGCTCAACTTGATAATAAAACAACGAAGAGAATATCTCTTTAAAGTGGCATTTAATTAAATTATAAATAATAAATGTTACTAAACATTATTATTTCTGGTATCTCAGATCTTCCATTATACACCAATTCACTTAAAATGATAAATTGAAAATCATGTAATATACAAATCATTTCTAATTGTTCTAGATACTGCTACTGAAGATTTGCAAGTTTCCTACCATCACATGAACAAAAACTAACATTCATTTTAAATGAAACATAAATTGCCGCGACAAATTAATTGATTTTGTACCATGGAAAATCGCTGATAAAATCACATTACCTTTGATATGTTATTGAATGTGACACGGATCGATTCTTTTGACGCAGATATGGTTTCATAAATCTCCTTTGACAGAATGTTTTTATTATTTCTTTTAGAAATGCTCCCATGCCTTATTAAGCATGTTATCAAAAATCAATCGTAATCTGCTATCTCTTAGTGTGCCACCGATAAAGACTCCAGTACATCTATAAATTTTATAGTTTATAAAGTATCATGGTAGTGTACTGTAGTTCAATTACGACAACTTATGGTATCATTTACCAAAGAAGGAAAACGATTCGCCTGCTAGAAATAAATGTTATTAATTTTGTAAGAAAATAAAGAACAACAAAAAACAAGCTGGCATATTTAAAAAAAATGAAAATGAAGATCTATTAAAAGCAAATTAAACGGCAAATATTGCATCACTTACGCCCATTGGCACCGGTTTAGCAATATACAATTTTTAACATGAACAATCCAGTTTTAAGAATGTTGTAGTGTAATGTTATTTTCTTGCAAACACACACGAAGAACTTGCAAAACGTTTTCTTGTAAACATGACAGAGAGGTATAGTTTACTTTTTCAATTAATTTTGAGCTTCAATGAAGATCATAAATTAAACAATTGACCTTCGAGTCAAGTAAAGTCAAAACACATTTATTTCTTTCATTCCATGTACAGACATGACATAATATAGCATTGCTTTGTATTACAACATACTTTAAACTGGATTTGGCAATTCATTAAATTGTTATAGATTTTACTTGGTCTCGGGAACATTAAACACATTCAATGTTAAATTATTCTAATTGTTTACATTTGTAGTTTTATTTATATTAGTTTTAAAACATTGACTTGAAAGTGTAGTTGCAAATTTTTATCATTTTACATTATGAGCTTGTCTTTATATAAATTTTGGCCTACAGTTACTTTTGACCGACTTAGTGAAAATTAAAACTTGACTTACACTGCGGAATCACCTTAAGTGATGTATACTGTATGTGTGTAAATCCAACATTTTGTGTAACAGGTATAATTTTATGAGTAAATCGTTGTGTTCGTGTATCTAATTGGTCATTTTCCAAAACAGGAACATTTCATACTTTAGCCAAATTAACATTTAAGAAGCTACATATGGGGTATTTAAGTAAACAAAAGTAATTGCTTAAACATAAAAATTGTACATTTCTGACACAAGGATACATTAATTCAAATTCTTCGATAACTTACATCATATTTGATAGTAAAAGAAGTAATCGCAGTAAGGTATGAGCCTCAAACTGTCCAATTAGTACAAAATTGACTTTCTTTTGCCTCATGAAACTCAATAGTTCACATATTGGACAGTTTCGTCTTAAACATGTATCTACCACGTATGACTCTTATGTAGTTTAATGTATGTATAAGTTTCAGAAAATACTGAAGTAGATATTGGCATGAAAAGGGAATCAATTAAATTCGCTCAATATTATCTAAGGTAGTGTTTTGATTATGCTTATTCAAGCCAGGTTAACAACGTTATTTTATAAAAAGATAAAAGAAGAATAATTTTTATTGATAATTTGATATTGCTGTGCTTTAACATTTGATAATTTCATAAATTTGTGTTATGGGAACGATATTTTTGATTTGTTATCGATTTCTATTTCATCCAACTGTTATCAAGGACAAAATATCATTTTATCTTATTCATAGGTGTGCTACAAGAACTCTGCTGCGGGTAGGATAAAAGTAACTAGGTTATGGATTAAACATGTACCTATGATGTCTATTGGTTTTGTTCTGTTAAATTGAACATGATTCCTGCATTGAAACGCACTGAGCGGTTCTTCTATGTGTATATTGACGCTTGATTGCTATGAAAGAGTTTTGTATATTTGTTAGATGAATCAGTCGGTGCGTTTTTTATGTCCGAGATTTGATAAAAATTGTGTTGTTTTTTAACAATGCGTTTCATGGGACAGCAAGAACAAAAAGACTTTATATTTAACGAAATGAAATACTGACAAATGTATTTCAGTGTTTGTTATATAGATGGATAATCTGAATTTAAATATTGTGAAGCAGGAGAACTTTATATTGATATTCATGGAATCTGACTAAATAGTTTTTTAATTGTTTTAGAAAATATTTCTTTCAGTATAGGTAATAATATGGGATTTTATAAAGTGTTCGTTATTCTGACATTTGCAAGATATTCATTTTGTCGTTATACAGGTAATTTTAAAAATAATTTAAACAAAAATTACTGGTATATTAATTTTTTTTCACATGTTTATTTATTTTAATAATTTGCAATATTCATTGTCGACCCCTCTAAAAGAATTATCAGTCATATGTTTTAGTTAATAGTGCTAGAGAACAGATTTTACAAATAATTATTCGGAACACATTCAACTACACACTATCTTAATATTTGTTTCAAATATAAAATTCGTTGATTTTTTTTCTTTTTGCTTTTTATACTTTTCTATGATTTTTAAATTTGAAATTCACACCGGCAGATGAAAAAACATATTTTGATGTATCTTGCTTTGATCCAGCAATCTTTCAACCTTCTTTTAATTACCTATATTTCTATGTTATGGCAGTGAAAATATGCCATGAACACGATTAAAAGTGACATTATGCCCATTCAAGGTGAAATTTTCAGTGGATAGGTAAAAGACAAAATAATTTAACATTTTGCCATAACTCTGTGGAATATATATTTTAAAATGAAAAACAAAATAATATTAATCCACGTGAAAATTCTGTAAATATCGTTAAGAGTGTATCGGTTCGTCCAATTCTTAAACGAGTCGCGCGTTTTTTTTATATTTATATTGTATGGTAAACATTTTGTAATAATCAAATATTGCTCAATCACAATTAGAATAGCCACGTTTGAAATATATTACTAATTTAACTCATCAAAGTCAAAAGTAGCGTTGATGTTTGTATTTTACTGCTACAAATCATATGCTTTAATTTACTACTTTGTAATGGTAAGCCAGTAATGAAAAGATATGGATCTTTTTAGAAGCTTTGTATTATTACAAAAATATAAAACGGAGAAATACATCAAAATAAATGTAAGATTACCAAACACATTAACCTGTAAGCAGCAGACAGGAAAATGTTATACGTGATATTGGTATCCACAATACTAACTATAGTTGTTTAAATGGTGTACATTTATTTATCTTTATTAATGTATACAAATCCTCTTTCTTTTATAAAAAAAAAAATATGCGATTTTACGTATAATACAGAACCATAAAAAACTATTAAAATTTATATTTTCACAATGTTATTATTATAATTAGAGGACATGTTCCTTTTATCTCTTTGATTTAAGCGATGCATTTGTTTTAATTGGATATCGAGTTATTTCACACAAACACATGTGTTTGATAAAAACATGAAACCTACAACTAATTACTGTGAAAACATATGATCCGTGAAATGATTTTCGATTGAAGTGACTTCAAAGTCCATCCTGGAACGAGATTATTTCTACACTTTCTGTTTTATAGTCGGCATAATTGTTAACAGTGATAAGCTGATACAGACCAGTCACCTGACACAATTTAAATCGGCTTCATGCGATTCCTAGAAATATATATTTACAGTTCAAAAGATACATTACAGTATTTATCAAAGGAAAAAAGAGAAATACAGTAAAATTAATTGTACATTAAGACAAACCAAGTCTAATGTTATTGAAAAACCGAGTTTTAGTTTCACAATTCAACATTTATATTCCGATTCTGACAATAAAATTCCGCTTTAAAATAGAAAAGGAGATCCTTGTTCTTAAATTCTGAACCTCTTTCATTTGGTTAAAATTGATGTTCCGTTTCCAAGAAGTAAAATACGACATGAGTTTTTTTACAACTTTACAAGATAAAAATGAGAAGTAATGATAATGTGTGTGAGTTTATTTATTTATTTATTTATTATTTTTTGAAAGCTTGCAAAAGGCAACTTAACCGTACACGTACATCTTTACGATGGCATCAAATAAAACATTATGTGAATAAAAGAATAAAAGAGCAAGACTTAGTATCCTTTTTTATTCTCCAAAATAAACCTTTAAAGTGAATAAGTCTACAATAGACACATTTTGTTATAACTATTTCAAATATTGATACAAACAATACAAAATGTATCATTTGGACATTCTTATAAACAATTCTTTGGAAAAAATAATTGATGATAGAATTATAATACTAGTTTGACCGTTAATATGATAAATGATAATATTTTGTTTCAAAACAATTTTTTATCTGATTTATTAAAGATATCGTGTATGACACTTGATACTATCAATATAGTAGTTTATGGAATATAGGAGTTTAACAGACCTCCCATTATACACTGAATCACTTTAAAGTCTTAAAACTTTCAATCAAACATTGAATTTTCTATGATTATATTTTATGAGTGAAATTGTGTTATCTAAAGTGGGGTACTCCCTTTCAAAGTTAAATATTCTTAATTCTACTCATAAAGGTACTTTGTTGGTTTGTATAGTTCAGATCACGATATCATGATAAATTATGATTATCATACATGTCATACTTAAATTTCTGAACCTCTTAATAAGGCCCCATTTATTTTAGATCCCCATTTATTTTAGATCTTTTATGCAACAATCAAAACCACGTAAAACTTTTATCTGTTTTGTAACAAAAGCAATGAAGTTATACTTGCGACAAGCCGGGACAATTTGATGTTAAGACTTTGGTAAACAAGTATGTTCAAAAGTTGTCAAAGTGTCATAGTATCTAATAGTTATTCCCTGTACTTTTAACAATTATCTTAAAGTTAGCCCTTCTTTGTTTTATAATCAATTCTCATATATTTTCAATGCCCACTTCCCTTTTCTGTTTTTTGTTCGTAGTTATTTTATTTATTTCGTCTGCTGTTTTCTTGTTATGGGCACACTAGCGTCCATGTATAGTCATATAATGACGCAATCGTGTCAGATGACGCAATCGTGTCAGATGGAAAGTTAAGTTTAACACTTTCGTATAAAAGCATCTGCACGTTTTCTGTATTAAAACTTTCGCTAATTTCATATATGTATAGCAGGTGCTAGGGGGCATAGACAGTAGCTTGCACTTAACACCTTCTTACATAAACAGGTTCAGTAAACCAAGTCTGTAACATTTTGAATGTTTCTGCATGTTGGGTTCTTTTTTCATACTATTGTTTTCCAATTTCATAAAAATAATGAAACAGTACGAACTTTCTGCATTAATTTTTCATTTTTAGGTTTCAGTGTTTGGCTATGGTTGAGCAGTGATGAAGATTTATCACCTCTTGATGTTTGGACCAACGCTTCAAGCAGTTTCAATAGTGCATCAAATGCAACAGTGTATAGTTTAATAAGCACAGGAACACGTGGCTACAGAAACACTTTGATTGACACGTGGTCATCCAATCCACCAGATAGGGTACGATTTAGATAAGACATGTTTCATTTTAGATTCTAACATTCCTCGTGAATTTGTCACTATACACAAAGAAGAAAGAAAACCAAGAAATCCAAGTTAAACTGCCAATAACCACATATAAGGGACTACGGCCTTCGTGGTCAATTTCTAATTTTCAAAACCCCAAACTGGTGTTAAATAGCCGAATAACACCACTAAAACCGATATTTTGTCTTAATTAAAATGTGAATATCTTCGATGAAATAGAGAGAAATAAAGAATCCATAAAGAACGCACAAAACGACAAAATTGAAAATGTTGCAGCATCGGTTTCATTGAGCCATTCCAAACCCGGTTATTATTCTGAAGCACACTTTTATTTGAATTATGGACTATACTGAAAAGTGAGGATTTTCACGTTTGTTTTTCTCTGTATGTTTATGTATTTCATACAGTTGGAAATGAGACAAATACATTCAATGAATTGATGCCCTGTCCCGTTTTTGTTTTGGGTCCTCCTTGGCTCGTAGCCGCTAGTTTTTGTTGCTGGGTAGTGTGGGGGTTGCGTTCATTGGATGCCACCTTTCCTTGTTGATCATAGTTAATCATATTTTATAATATGATTCTTAAACATTTGAGGTGACGCACATTGATTTATTAAATATTTCATCAAATGAATGTAACCGTATTACCAATACCGATTGTATAATGGCATTTCACATTACAATTAACGGTTGGAACTTAATAATAACATTTATTTAGCATTATTATACGTCACAAACTTTATCATTGGCACAAGAAGCTTTAAAAAGGGTACCTTCTCATCTTAATACTTGCACATTATTATGTTCTATGTGTCTAGTCATTCCGGATCATTGATTGATCCCAACACTTTTTAGTGTTGAAAATTTAGTACAGCTCAAGCCGGTGCTAGTGGCTTTAGGCATGTCGCACCTTTTCATTATTCCTGAATCAAACAAAGTCAGCAATTTTCATGTAAGTTTTTGTGAGTGATGCTTTCGCGGGATCACACTTTACCCATAACTTTGATAAAAAAAAATGGAATGAAGTAAGTTCACGCAGGTCTCGATTCTATCGGTTTACAAGCTACTTAATGATAAATTGAAATACGCAATTGTGTTCGCCTTTTAAATTATAATTCCTAAAATATATTTTTAGTTAATTTAATATATTTATAGATACGAGTGACCTACAGAAATAGAGATGGTGATGTCATTCTCAAATCAAAATTTAAAACTTCAACTTCCACCTCATCAGACTGGTTTACCGTAGCTAATTCGATGGACTGGGTATGGCCAGAGTTGTCTTATAACCTTAGCCTTACATACACAAGGTTCGTGTATCCCATTTCTTAACTGCTAAAACGCATTTGTAATTTAAAATTATTTTCAAATGAAATCATTTTTTTTTTGCATATTAATCGAAGAGTATTTTTTTCTTTATAATATTCATGTATAAAATAAAAAGAAAACGCTAAGAGAACCTTTTCATTGTCACTATCACGCCAAACAAAGAATTCAAAACCATTACATAATTTGAAAGGGTGTCATATATAACTGATGTATTCAATTTACAAGGCATACATTGGAATTTGCAATGGTAGACAGTAGCCAAAACGTATTAAAATATAGAGGTGCGAGTCTGAAGCTTTCCAATGGCACAGTCATCTTTGTAGTAGGTCAAGGAACAACGTTTGGGCTTCTTCCATCAACACCTACAGGTACATTCACTTTACAATCTACATGTGGTATATGTATTATAGTAGAGGGAATCTGCATACTTTATTAATATTTATTCTGTGAACATCTTTGAACTCATCTTTATTCATGCCAATATGCTATTGTAAGCATTTTTCAAATTAGAAAGGTTATGCTAAAGAGCAGTACAAATTGCACAATATATGTTAAATTTACTGAACGAATTGTAACATACCTGTGCATTCTTTAACAAATAAAGATTAAAATTAAAAACAAACTGCTAGAAAAGACGTTACAGAGTAAACAACACGAAAAACCAATACATGTAGCTGTAATTCAAATTTCATAAAGCTATTTGGCAGTGAATACTCGCGGCATAAAGAGTCATCGAAGATGTCCATGTTGATATGTAATCTTTTAAGTAATAATAGTATAGTTTTATGGTTTAAATTCCATAAATTGTCTTACCTTTAGCGTTTTATGGGTTCACTTTAATTGTCAAAAGTCTGTAGTACAGTTGTTGATAATTAAAGAAATACATTTGTATATGTTGACAAAATTTCTATTCTGGTTCAACTTATCAATTCGTAACTGATGCTTATAATTTATAATGTGAATGTAAATTAAATAATATAATTATATAATATATATTTTCAAAAGAAAATTTAACAATTTGCCATGAACAATATCTTTTGATACTAATAAAACATGAGTAAAGAGTATGTAAAATGTTCAAGTCTTAGTGGCAAGTCAAACGAAACCATAAAAACAGTCATTAGTACAATGTACAATGGATTGTTGTAGTTGATTTGAGAATCGTATTGGACTAAAATGAAAATTCTAGTGTAAAAACGCAATTTCCAGGTGCGTCTTTGTTAGTACAGCATTTATTGTATAATTTTTAAATAATTTGTTCTATTATATCATTTATGCTTTCCACAATCGATTTAAACCTGTCATGTTTCTGATTGCATAATGCCTTCTTCCTGACGTAATTATTTGCAGGTAAAAAGCCTATAATGACACCGTGTTAAGACATTTTGTCTCAAAGGTTTTACCTTTCAAAGCATATCAATTAATTATTAATATACCTTGCAATTAACCGTAGACACTAAATTGATATACCGCTGTGCTGGCGATCCATTCACACCATGACGGCAATCCATCATTTTACGACAATCAAAGCAGTACATTGTCAACTTGCTAAATATCAAAATATCTCTTTAAAGTGTCAATTTAAATCACATTTATTTGAATGATGATGCAGAAATAATTCCATAAAAAAATGTTTAAAAAAATGTTATAAATTTAATAATCATTATGCCTTGAATGTCATAGAAGAAAGTCAAGTTTTAAAATTGTTTTTAATATCTGTTTCATATACTTTATTTTTTGCAAATTCGGTGTATTTGTTTCTTTTTGGGGTAAATCTAATATTTTTCTTCAGAGTCTGGGGATTGCTATGCTTCCTATGATATTTCAAATCCAGTATCTATCAACTTCACAATATCAAACCTTACACACAGCTATTGTTCAGCACTTTGTCGACAAGAAAACTATACATATGCCGGTGCCCATGTGAGTATACATCTCCTTTTGTACACCTAAACTATCTATGGATGATCGATATTTCATTCACTTTTCATCCTATATGTATCGTTCAACATTATAGTATAATATTATGTATTATTCATTGATAAACACTCAAACCTGTACAGTTTACGTGTAATAAAATCTGTTCCGTTCTGTTCTGATATTGCTTTAACGTATAAGTGCTCAAAGAAAACATTGATAATCACGATAAAAGTGATGTAAAAAATCATATTGAAACATAGCATATTGATGTTGATGAAACTGGTACTTATGCTAAAATATGTTATTAAAATTACATTCGATTTTAATATTATTATAATTATCATGATTAATATCATTATAATTATCATTATTATATCCATAATTTTAATCATAATTTTTTGACAGAAAGATGAGTGTTTATGTTTTGACACACTGAATGGACCATTGCTGACGTCATGTAATATACCATGTGCAGGCAACATAAACGAAATGTGCGGAGGAACATTCCCACCAGCCATTATATTCAATTCCGTGAATACAGATAGTGAGCCTTATTTCTATTTTTATCACTTTGATGTTTATTTAAATGTTATGTATTTGTAATCGAGAATTCAATTTTCGCTTGATCGCACTTATGTTTTTTTTATTGTCTACCAAACTGCGTAAATGAAATGCTGGAAAAAGGAAAACGCTTAATCACCTCGTAGATAAGATATCACGGAGCAGTTAACTGAAATAAATTGAGTTGCACATATTTGTTTTAATCAATTTTTACAATTATAATTATATATCAAATCCTTGAATAATTTGTTTTCCGTGAATTTTAAGTGTTTGAAGTTATTTTTCAACAATCTTTGGTATAGTTGATTGTACAGTAGTCTTCTAATTTGAAGAATAAATGCAGTTTCTTTCTTAAAAAAATGGCAACGTTTACTTATTGGTATTCACATTGTTTAATATGACTGACGATTAAAATGCTCGTCGCTTGTCACGTGTTTGAAATTACGTAATTTTGAAGGGTGCCCTTTGGGTTACACTTATAAATTTTACTGTTAATTAAAATGCCCGAGCACAAAATTATCGTCTCCTAAAGAAAATTAAATGTTGTTTTGTTTACTTTTTTTATTTCTGTTTATCATATTTATCCGTGTAAGAAATTGCATAAACGATAAGTGAATGATAGCTATATATTTCATGTAATTAACAGTCGCGTACGTTGAATTTTATACTTTATCTATCATTATTTTTTTCTATTTTCAGTTGACATATCGCAATTTAATACTCCTAAAATATTGATCGGGGACTTAGATGTCATTGGCAATGATGAGGTAAACTAATTAAATTTAAGTAATTTGTAAATATGAAATAATTGGCCAACTGGAAATGAGTTTCTTTGTTGAAAAAAAATATTATTCTAGTGTTAATCCTAGTACAAACAAAGAAATGAATAAAATAGAATAAAAAAGGCAATTGATTTATACGATAATAAAACGCATTTACCCAGTAATTTGCTTTAATTTAAAAAGGATAAATCAATTAGCTGTGGCATAATTATTATCAATGCATGAATGCCAGTTCAAACAAATTAAACAGTATGAAACAGTGCTATTTGTGAGGTGAAATGACACAACTGCTTAATGGTCAAAAGAATTGTTATAGCATTGCTTTAAAAAGTTAGGTCATTTAGTGTAACTTTATTTTGTGATGATCAATGGATAATTTATTTTACAAAAAGAAACCCGGATATTTTTGATTACTCAAAATTATTCAAAGGTCAGCTCGGCAAATTAAGTAATTACATTTTTTGAAAATATGCTTAAATCTCTGAAACGATTGTTGTAATAGGTTTAATGCTTTTATACAATACAAGCACACTATGGGCTAAAAGTATTGCACCACGGGTACACGGCTTTAAAATATTTGTTCTCAACAAAGCATTGATTATGATTGTAAATTTATTTTGCTTTTAGATATCTTTTGATGAGCCGATACACATGTATGGGTTAAACATCACAACTGTAACAGCAAACCTACCAGTCTCTATACATATCATTATATTATACCGCTCAGAGACGTGCAATAGTACGGGTATACGGAATTCTTCGTATGAAACGGTATAAATCTACGTTTCTCGTTTTTAAATAATGTTAATATATGAAACTGTATAAATTTACGTTTCTCGTTTTTAGATAATGTTAATATATGAAACGGTATAAATCTACGTTTCCCGTTTTTAAATAATGTAAATTGATAAAAGACTATAATTTATTGTCATCCTTTAATAATCCTTTATGTTAATGTTTAAATATTCAAGGTGACTTAAATGTCCATTGGTCCAGGTTTTAAATTATGTATCAATGAACGCAGCAAAAAATACTTACTTACTTACTTATTTACTTACTTATTTACCTACCTACCTACCCACATACCTACCTACCACCTCTATCCGCTTAAATATTATAATGTTTTAATGTTATATATTTGTAACCGAGGATGCAATTTTGGCTTGATCGCTTTTGAGGTCTCTTAAACTGCGTAACTTACAGGAGGAGTCACATGATGGAACCGTATCATTAAAAATTATCTATCTATTATATTGTATCACACCTTTTTGAGTATCTTATGTGAAAAATGCGTATTACTTTTATGTACTTACCTATATATATTTATTTACAATTCAATTATGACAAGAACCGAATTTTAAATTAATATATCATTAAATAGCATCACATACTTTCATTTTTACATATTAAATTACCTTCTTTCAACTTATATATGAGTATGTCCCTTTTGTTTTTACTTTTTTATTGCTGTTTGATAAGCGTCAATTCAAAATGGGGATAAGGTGTTTTGCAATTATACAATTATTACTTTGCTTATATTTAATTATTTTTTTCATTCTACGTTTGTCTGAAAAGTAAATCTATTCGTGTGTTCCAGAGTTTCAGTGTGGAAGCAACAGATAACTATTATATGTTAGAGTTTGAGCCTATCTTCGTGCAATGCGTTTATTTCTTTCTTTACGACAACTCAACAAATGCTTCGTTAACCTTCCCTGTCAACATCAGAGCTATTACAATTGAATGTAAGCTGTTTATTAAATCAATTTTCATTTTTATTACATCATTCAAATTAGTAGTTCAGTGATAGTATCCAATATATATCATCTTAAACTTTTTTTGTAAAAATATACGGACATGTTCTTCATTATCATCTTAAACTTTGTTGAAAAATCATACAGACATGTTCTTCATTGACAACAATTGTCAAACAAAATGTTTTAAATAGAAAATAAACATTAAAAAGATACTTGAAGGTTTGCATGCCATAGAAATGGGGGTTAGTACTATGAAGAATTCGGAAAAATGCATTTACAAATGCATATATTAAATCAAACCAGTATATAAATTATATCCTTATTTTGTACTTAATTCATATTTTCTTGTTATGTATCCATTTTCAAGTACATATGATATTTGCTTATAGACACTTATATTAATAAACAAAATTACTACCATAAAACAAAACAAAAATGTTGAATGTGCACGTTGCATAAAGTATTTTGCATATGATATTAAAGTATGTAAATAAGATGATTGTTTAATCTTATTCTGATGTTTTCTTGCAGTTGGCAATTTTGTTACAGCCCAATATTTCACCATCGAAGCATCCTGGCAAATAGGTATTATATCTTTATGTGACAAACAAACGAATAAATAAAAAATATACATCATTTAGAGATTTTTCGTAACAAAACATTTTACTTACAACTTACGTTCTATAACAATTTGTCGTTTAAAATATCCTTATTCGAGTTATAAAAAAGGAAGACTTTTTATGAATATCAAAGTGTATAAATATGTTGAAATGTTGATAAATTATAATGTATCTGTAAGTTGGGATAACTTTATGAGCGTGACATACACTGACATTCATTTGTTCAAAGAAACATACCATACACTTTTGTAATAATATATATCATTTAAAATACATGAGTTCTTATTTTATCTATTTCATTAAAGAGTTTATTTAAAAATATACAATTTTTCCCCCCAAAAAATAACGGTTAAGTTAAGACCTAGTTTTGGATAGGAGTCAAAATTGGTCTTTCACGATTATCTGTACTCATTTTTAATCAACATGTAGTATCGATCATATAATTTAATTTCTTGATAAATGTATAATGATTTGTCAATACATTATATTTAAATAAAAATTTCAGCCTGTTGTAAATAATTGTGTTTATTGTATAAATAACCATTGTTAAATGTTGTATATGTTTCCTTTTATATATAAAAACAGTAGAATCAACGACAAGTATCACTACGCTTACAACCACGCCAGCGCCTACTGACGAATGCGAGTGTGAATGTTGGCTCTACAATTTGCTGTATGGGGACTCTCCTTACAATAATCTTTCATATGATCAAATTGAAGATGCTTTGAAAAACGTTACAAAGAAGGTTCAAATTCATCTTTTTCTTATAATATACTTTACGCAATCCGTATACTTCAAATAACAGATCTAGTTTTTGTATTAAACAATATGAATTTTGCATTGCTTAACAATAGATAAAGTAAATGCTCAGATTCCATTAACTTATTGTTTTCTTAAATCCATGTGTAGTTTTAAATCAAATTATGACAGTTAAAGGTATGATTAATACATTTGGTATAAAGTTTTTACATCATGGATTAAGAAATAGCTTCGAGTACAAATATATAATGACAGACATGTAGGAATATGTAACAGTTAGTCATGTGATACCGTTTTTCGTCCGTTACACGAAACGGATGAAGTCGATCAAACATTTTATATGTATATTTATTGACGATAAACCGCGTTCATTAGATACACATTTGATATATTTAAAATCTGCAAATGAAACTGATACGCCAAAGTTTATGGATGGGACATTTTTTTATTGTTCATAATAAATGAAACTGTCTTAATTTTGTACTTCATTAAAAGCTGTTAAATGTTGTTTTAACAAACAGGATTTAAAGTAAAAAAGAGAATGATAGATTTTCTGGTGAATAACATGAGGTCTGCCTTGATTTGTGCACTATTGTGCTAAACGTAATATTATGTTTAAAGAAGTAAGTTCGAAATAAAATCTTGATTAAATATTACCTTTGGGTTTCAGATTGAGAAAGAGCTTTCAGTCAACAAGTCAACCCTGTCGTCCACTATCAGAAGAAAGACAAGTGCTCAAGATGACAGACCTTCAGCAACGGCAATTGGATACTCCTTGGGTGTAGCCTTGCTTGTTTCCTCTTTAGGCGGTAATAAATCATTTAATAGTATTGTTAGACTAATCTTTTACTTTTTTCTAATTTTTCAATATGATTATTAAAAGAATATTTAGCTCCAATTATTCACACCTTTTAACACTACATCAAAGTCTGCTGCCTAAATTCACTTTCTTTTTTTTCACTGCTCTCGAAGAATCGACCGTTTGCCAGACGTTTTTAATTCACAATATATATATGGTGTAAAGTGCTGTTTAGCAGCTAAAATTGTTCCTAGTCTTTCTCCTCAGTGCTGTTTTATTTGTCTGGTCTTTCAAGATTATTGATTCAAATTCTTTTATTCTAAAAATGTTGCACATTGCATTATTGTTTTTATTAATTAATTCATTTATTTATTTATCTATTCAAATTGTATTTATTTATTTATCTATTGTTTTATTGATCTCGAGTTATCTCCCTTTATCCAGATTATTACACGGAAAGTGGTCAGGTGTTTACAGAATCTATGTAACTCTTAAACATGACATTAGAATGTATTAGATGTGCTTTTAAGATATGAAACAAGGAAATATAAAAAATTATTTACACCAAAGGCTAACGAATATTAAAAAAACACTTATTTGTCATGATAAATATCATAATTGTTTTTGTTTATTTTCAGCCATTCTGCTTTCTGACTTACCAAAAGTGATCAGCAGTTTTAGTATTCTACGTGACAATTTCAAATCTAGATTTGGTAGTCAAGAAGAGCTAAATCCTTCAGATAAGTCAGACAATACCAGTAGCGATACCTACTAAAATAACATTACCATTTTGAACAGGCGATATTTTGCTGAAAGAATTAAACAAAACAATTAATTTATAATAAAGATTCTCTACTAAAGCAACAACAAAAGCTGACTGTCAATAATATGTAAATGTAGGAATTTATTTAAAGGACAATCTGAAATTATTTCTTTTTGTATGTCACCCAAACGCGTTATTGATACTTGCCAAAATAGCTGAATTTTTGATTTTCGTTGTTTTATGTTGATTATTAATAATTGTTTTTATTGAATTAGCTGACGTAAACTTATATTGACTTTTACCTATTCACTCACTATATACCCTCTGATGGGCATAATGTCACTTTAATGCAATACATTCGTCCAGCTATTCCGTATTGCATTTACCTAACAAAGATTTTAGGAGGTCAAGGTCAAGTTCAGTGAAGTCATGCTGTTTTTCGAGTTCCGTAAACATGATGAAATTATATCGTTTACAAGAGGAATTAGTAAATATGATGTGTTTTAAAACGTGTATAAACTGGAATACTAATGTCTGCGCAGAAAAATCCGCCTAAATTCAAAGGCAGAAACTAAGAAAAATAAAAAAAATAAAAGGCAGGCGACTTCGCCATTGGAAAAAAGTGACGCGCCATTATTCACTCAACGCTTGGGTGGAGATAGCCATGTGACTGATTTATCAAAAAAATATAAAACGGATTACACATCAGGTATTGTGCTAACAAATAGTGGACAGTGCACTCAGATATGGCGTTTCCTGGACAATATGGGCAACCAAGTGGAATTGCAAGGTTCGCCCACGCAACAGACTTTTGGTCCTAGTTTTGGGTTTCCGTCGGCGGCCCCACCATGGGCAGTGGAATTAATGGACGAGGTTAAACAGATTAAACTCCAGTTGGAATCCATAAAAAACATTGAAAAACGGGTAACTTTTATTAATCAAAAATTGTCAGAAGTTGAAAAAAAGATGAAATCCATGGATTCCCGACTAGAGGAAAACGAGAAATCGTGTGATTTTATGTCGTCAGAATTGGATAAGTCGAAATTAGATGTGAAAAAAAAAAAAAGAAGATTTGTAAAAAATGCACAAATCTGTTCAAGGTTTAGAAAAAAACTCGGATAAGTTATTTGATAAAACGGAGAAATTAGACGAACAGTTAGTGAACTTAGAATCGCGATCAATGCGTAACAATTTATTATTCTACGGAATACCAGAGGAGGGCACCGATGAAAATTGTAAGCAGCTAGCAAAAGACTTCTGCAAAAATATATTGAAAATCTCATCCGCTAATGAATTTGTGTTCGACAACGCACATAGAATTGGGGAGAAAAAAGGTTCGAAACCCAGACCCGTGGTGGTCAGATTTCATTACTTAGAGGAACGTGAAGCTGTCCGGAAATCGTCCTTTGAACGGGATATCGCCGACGCTATGAAATCAGCTAAAAGGGGCGTCGGAGCCCAATTACCTAGAAGTGTTAGGGAGGCACGAACGCCACTGTATCCAATCATGAAACGCGCCAGGGATGAACACAAAAACGTAAAATTCATTGGGAAAAAACTTTTCATTGAGGGAGAAGAGTACATACCAGACATTCCGATGGAATAGGGAAGTCGAGAAGAGTCTTCTTTGAATATCTTGTGTTGGAACATAAACGGTTTAAGAAGGAAATTATGTGATTCGGACTTTTTAGAGTTCATTCAAATATATGATTTGGTGTTTTTAAATGAAACGTGGTTATCAAAAAAATGAAAATATTAACTTGGAAATAAATAATTATAGTTGTGAACATTTATTTTGGAATAAATCTGATATTTGTTTTATGCCTATAAAATTATTTGAGTTGAGTTGAGTTGAGTTGAGTTGAATTTTAGAAGGACCAGTCAGTGCCACAACGTTTTCAAATAAGTGCCAATATGAACTACATGCAATATTAAGTCGATGAAGCAAGAGCTTACTTTGTCGAATTAGATACTTTGACAGTTTGTATTTTTAAAGAGTGTTGTGTCAAGTAACTTAACTGTAACGTGTCAATTAGTTTCAATATATATGCTGATTTGATTGTTCCTGCTGACAATAGGAGTGCTATGTTTTAACAATAGCCATGAAAAAAGAAAAGCCAGAGTACTAAATCAACAGCATCGTTTCTCAAGTTTAAAAACAGATAAAAGTCACTATTTTTTTTTTTTTTTTTTTTTTTAAATTGCTTGAATTTATTTCGCCTATATGACTGAAATACTGTTGGGAAAAGGCGTAAAATGAAACAAACAAAATTTCTTATACTTGCAACAAAATCGCAAAACGCATTGATTTTCGTTATTTTAATATAATAATTCATTTTACAAAATATTATGAACACGTATAAACAATATAATGCAAAGTTTAAGATCCATTATGCCCCAGAAATGATTTGTTTTATTGTTTTTGATATCGTATTATTATTTTCAAAATGCTACTCATTAGAAAATCGCATGGCTAGTGTTTGAGTATTTTGTATGGAAGTCGATATACTACTTTGTTCTACTTTTATGACAAAAGATTTCATATCCAGTGTTACATTCTTTAGGTTATACGCATATTACATTTTCTAACACCATTATTCAAATACTTCAAAACTCAAGTTTGCCTTTTTCTAAATGAGGAAATATTTATTCGTCTCTGAGGTATAATGTGCCTTTAAGATTAGATAAATGTTTAACATGAAGTCTTTCGATAAAAGGCAATATAAAATCAAATGTTGAACATAAAAAAAATAAAATAATACAATTTTACAGAACAGTTTGTAATAATTTTCAGAACGACAAATCTGTTGATCATACTAGAATAAAAAGAAAGAAAAAGGAAACAAAACGGGTATATTGTAAAGATCTATCAGCGAATGTATAGTGTTATCTTATTATTTCATTTATCTATATTGACCAGTAAATCAATATATTATTTGAGATACTTTTTTTATTTCGTTGCATACCTAAACAACCGTAACTCGCCCATTTGCAACGGAATGAAAAAGTCAATCAAATTTCGTTAGAAGTAATTTTGTATAGAATTACTGATTTATAATTGAGTTGATAGAATTATTGATTTGTAATCGAGTTGAATAGAATTATATATTTGTAGAGTTTATAGAATTTTTGATACCTGATTGAATGTATACATAACGATATGAATAATTTACGATCACATACGCGCAAGGAATTTAGCGGAGTTCACCCAAAAGAATTCAAACACCCCCTATCACATAAACAAATATGAATATATATAACACCAGTATCTAAAACAGAAAAAAAATCACAGTTATATAGTATTCACAATGCCAGTACACTGATCTTAGTATGTTTAATTTTACAACATATTCATGTACTTTTGGAATAAAAAATACACTATTTATTATAGGAATGTTGACGCTTAAGACCAAAGATGTAAGAAAGAAGAATCCAATTAAGTCGAAAGAAAAGGGTACATGAAGTAAAAGTCAGTACTCGTACTTAAAATAAATGATTCACATAAAAAAATCTTAAATAACATAATAATCAACACATTACCTTTTCAGAATCATGCGTAATTCGTATTGAAAAGTCGTTGATTATTACACTAAAAGATTACAATCCCAATGAGTTATAATGGTACCGCTGTATTATATTATTTAACACAGTGCAAACTAACATTACACGTATTTACTAAATTATCAAATACTGTTAAAATAAGGAAGATGCACCTGGAATAAGTCAATATTCACCATTCAATTAGGGGCTGTTATCTTTAAATTCTGAAAACATTACCATCTAATTTAATCACTTCAGACAAATTCTGTATCCACTGAACAAAACATGGCACTTAATTACAATTACTCGTCGATATGTAACGGTTCTCCAATCAAAGCCAAAATATCATCAATATCTTTGCTTTGAAGGTATTCTAATTCGGATCATTAAATATCAGGACATTGTGTTTGCAATGATCAAAATGAAAAAAAAAAATTCTAAAGTCATGTTTGGTAACCAAATCAGTTTTATTAAGACCTAGGAAATAAACGCAATGCTTTCATTCCTTAAACACATATCTATTTCATTTACTGGTAAATTGATTTGTTCGCCTTTGAAAGTCACTATAAATGACAGCTTGCCTAGTAATTTTACTGGAACTTAAAACTAAGCTTTGGATTATAAGACCAAAGAATATTTTCCAAACGTCTAGAAAGAGGCATCATCATAGTTCTTTTCAAACTTTCAGCTATTTGTTGAAAAAAAGCTTAAAAATACTAATTCAAGAACAATATGCTTGTGACATCTAAACGCGTATTCACCTATGTGTTCAAATGGTCTTCAAACCGTTTTATTAATCTATTCTTAGAAATTTTCAGCTGATCTAAAGTGTCGTGTTTTGTTCAGTATTGGATTTCAGAAAAGCCGAATAATGAATCCCAGGATAATCGCAATTAAAACAATGTCAGTCACTATTTTTATTGATGCCGCTTCACTTCCATTTCCTAAAATATAAATAAATATCTTATAATTATAATGAATATGTTAAATATGAAATGTCAGTGATACGAAAACCCTACGAGATCGCATGTATCTTGTCTTTATAACTACTTATATATGACTTCTTTTTTTAAATTGTTACAAGAATAATTTTATGTCATATTTTATGTCAACAATATTTCATTTATCAAGGTATTTCATAGGATCTTAAAATGATCAGCTAAAACAATTTCACAAAGATTATATTAAAGGCTATTTATTTAGATGAACGTTTGACGATGTCATATAACGACTAACTAGCTAAATGAGAGGATGAAAATTACAGGTTCCCCCTGCTTCACGTTACGTCATACTTTTACCTAAAAATGATTTGACAATATGGGCGCCATACAAATATTATATATAAAAACGCTTATCACCACGTGCTTACCTGAGTCAACACAACGACCGTCTGCGGCAATGTGTGAAGACTTACACATACACATTTTTCTGTTATCACACAGGGCATTGGAAACACAGTCACTGTGAGAAGTGCAGCCGGCAAAACCGGGTCCTAGGGTTAATATATCAAGGAAGGTATTAACAAATTTTCGATTCACACGAACGTATTTCATTTTATAAAAGGCGTGTCGTACTTTGAACATATTACTCAAAATTATTCAAATTTAGTGTTTGCTCAGTTTTCTTTAAAAAAAAAAACAACATTTTTGTAGCTTGTTAAAATATCACCGTTGAAAATATTGTTTGATAATTAATACATTACAAAATACTCGCAGTTGGTTTGATGCATATAACTGCAAAACACATTACACTCAATTTTAATTGATATGAATCTGCTATTTTTGATTTATACTAAAATAACGGAGTGAAGTAAACGGATTTTAAAGATTGAAATGCACGTTCTTAGGCATGCGCAAGATTATTTGCAATCGCCTAGTTTATTATTATTGTTTTGAAAAATGTAAGCACAAACTAATTATACTTTATGCATGCCTGCATATTGTTATAAATTGGCGCCGCAACAAGACAAAAGTAAACTAGCCAATCAACTCCATGATATTCATACTAAATTTGATATTGTATAGCCTTTCAAATACCTCGTTTGCATGCGTTTTGATCCGCTGTAAAGTTTGCTTTACAAACACATTTAGTATCGCATTCCGAATGATCCAAATGCCCTGAGCATTCCAATTGTATGTTACATGGTGAATTTAGTACTGAAAGGAACATTTAGTTACGCATAATGAGGTTCAGCAATTACATATCAATATGTTGATTGAATACTGCTGGAATAGATGCAAGGGTCGCACACTGTGTGGCCGTTACTTGTTTATTTCAGTTAAATTTAAATAAGTACCAGTTAAAAAAATCATTGAGCATTTCAATACTGTTCTTATTACAACAGTTCCATAGAGGCTAGTATATGCACGGATGTTAGTTTGCCTGTCAAAGAAGGAAATAGCTCTAAAACAAATAATTTGAATTGATGCATATTTTTTTAAGCAATGCAAGTTATTTGATTTAACATACTTGCATAAAAAATATAAGTTCTATCATTTACTTTTTCATAGTTATTTCATGGAAACGGATTGTTTTGTTCTCCGGGCAGACATGGCAAAGGACAGAAGTAAAGTGACATATACCATAATACATCATTACGGATATTTTAGACACATAAGCTCATTAAAATTATATAGTGTTTGCATAATTATTTATTTGCGCTTGCTGCTTTCTAAAATTGTACATAACGAGCAGAAGAAATGTACATGTGCTTTGGGTTTTCAATTTCGCTGAATACCATTGCTTCTTCTCTTTAGCAGTCAAACCATCAGCTGAAATGAATCATGCGTATAACATAAGTTGAAATATGAAACATCATACCCGTGATGCAAACAATACCATACTTCTTGTAACCTTGGCTACATGTACACAGGTCCCTGATGCATTCTGCATGATCAACATCATGACAGTCTGAGGAATTAACACAAGCGTCTCCAAGACCTAAAAATTAATAGATGAAAAAAATAACGAAATCTTTGTAAAGCAATGGCAAATATGAGGTAAGCTAATTTAAGGAAAGTAAAGTTTGTAGAATAGCTTAAACAAAACGTTTAATATATAAATTAA